GGCCGCGGCCACCCTTGTCCGCGCGTGCATGTGGGCGGCTCCGTCGGGCTCTGTCACGCAGGCCTCTGCATATAGACTGAACAACAATTAACAGCCCCATGCGCCTTGCGCAACCTCCGGCACCCTCGCAGGCCCCGCCAGACACGCCTGCACCGCGGACCCCGCCAACCCCCCCGGCGCTCGCGCTCGCCGCTGCGCCGCGCCCACGCGCCGGCGCCGGGGCCCTGCTGCCGGCCAAAGGCGACCCGGCACCCCCAGCCGCGGCAGGTGCTGACACCGCGGCACTGCGCCTGGATTGGGTGGACCCGCAGATGCCGGCGCTGCCGTGGCTTTGCTACGATCCCGTCCCCACGGCGGCGCAGGACGCGGCACCCGGGCTGGTGGAGCCGGACGAGGTGCTTCGGCTCGCGCGCGCGGAGCCCGGCCGCTACAGCGGCGAGCGCCAGGCGGCGGCGGGGGTGACTGGGACGCGAGCGCGCGCAGCCGCACCAGGCTTTTCCGCCCAGCAGAGCATGTGGGACGCGATGGTCGCGCGGGAAGGCCGCCTCGTGGGGGGGCTTCCCTCCATCCCGCCGCCCGGGCGGAGCAGCGTCGCAGCGCGGCCCGCTCAGGGCAGCCTTCAAGACGCGGCGATGGATGTGCCAGCGCAGCTGCTCGGTTACAGCCGCCCAATCCTCATCCAGCAGCTGGTGTTAAGAAAGCTGGCTTCGGCGCTGTCGCAGCCGCAGCCGCCGCCGCAGCTGCATGCGCATGCGCATGGGGATGTGCCACCTCCCGAGGGCAGCGCCGCAGGCCCGAGCGCGTGGCCGGCCGGCGACGCTGCCGCAGCGTTGGGGCCGCCCGCCGCCCTGGCCGAGCCTGTCGCCGCTGCCAGCGCGGCGCCTTCGCCCAGCCCAGCCGCAGTGGCCCAGCCGGCCGCGTCCGCCCAGGTGGGATGCAGTTGCGCTCGGATGGGCGGCGGGGCAGCGAACCGGCGCGGGGGGCTGCCCCAACCGCACCTGCGAGCGCTTTGCCTGGCCGCCACGCGCGGCGCCCCCATCTTCCCGCCCCATACCCC